CAGTCTGGCCGTCGAATTTGTTGAGTCCGATCTCCAAGAACTGAATGAGGGAAAGATGCTCGTCCATCGGGTGCTTGCATACATGTTTGCAAACTTGCAGATAGGCGAGGGGCCACCAACAATAGCCAACAGTCAACTGTAGGATGGTAAGTCGAGAACACTTTCAAGTTATAAACTTCAAAAGCCGTCTCAGAAAAGAGGAAAAAAGAAAGGAAATGAGATTGCCACAAGTTCAGCTCAGTGTAACATTTGGATCCAATGCCCTGGGTTTGTTAGTTCCTCTAAGACATGAACAAAGCTGTGCTGTGTTCACACGTGGGAGAGATACGATGGCGATGGTTACACAACATGAGGGGCGGACCACCCCACGAATGCTGCATCACTTGCTCCTGATTAGTTAGTCTTATGGCTGCCGGTAGGCGGAAGAGCACGACACCCACGGTTCACCAGGTCCAGCCTTATTCCAAAATGCATGCAAGTGTTGCATAAGTAATGTACATGTCTCATTATGTGCTGGCTCGTAGAGTTTGAGAGCTGTTACCACTTGGCTTGACTGGGACATTATCCGGGCCTCGATCTGTCCTCGTTGCAGGATTCCGGCCAAGGATCGGTCAAAACATCACGAGACTTCGGCCATACAAGGGACCATGACAGTAACCTCTCTGGCGATGCATAAGTGAAGTCTAATTGAGTATCTGATGGTGACAATGTTGACTCAACTTCCATAAGCGGCGTAGCCATCACGACCCTTGAAGTAAAATCGAACACAGGAGGCAGTTCCTCCGTTGCATTGACTCTTGGCGGGAGCACGACTCAAACACGGCTCTGGTACAATGGGATTAGTCTCCTAGACTTTAGTACCATGCATCACGAGGAGAAAGTCTGGGCTTGGTAGCTTCATCACAAGCTGTCGACGCTACTTCACCTCAGCGCTCAGTTCAACGAGCATGGCTTCGAAAAGATATAAAGCTGGGACATTAGTTTGTTCTGGAGTCTCAGTTGTCTCGCATTTCGCAAAGATTTCAAGGAATCCAGAACTTCTATTTCTCAGAACACTACGGTGTGTTACGAAACATCAGTATCCCAACATGCATTCGCTCCAGCTTCGCAAGGCTTCATCAGCACTGCTGGCTTCTCTGGCCGTGGCCAGTTCGGTCACAACCCGACAGTCATCCTCACTTTCTTTAGTTGGGCCCATCAACCTGAGAATACCGAGCATTGACATCAGCTCTATTTCTATATCACTTGTTACCTTCGCCGACGAAGTCATCGACATCTCCGGCATATCGATCTTTGGAAACGTCAACGATGGCACTGTCAACTGTACATCAGCCACAGACGAGACTGACACTGCAGTTTTCGGTCCAGTCTATGTCCCAGCTGAAGGTGCAACCCAGATCAACCTGTCGTTGATCACGTTTGGAGATGAAGTTATAGACTTCTCAAACGTTGCGATTTTTGGAGATGTGAATGATGTGGGATGTGACTAGATTCAGGATCTGTTTCCAATGAATATTTGCGATGTGTAGCTACGAGAGGCGGGTTTCTTGCTGTAGATGATTACGTGTAGAGAATTGAAAATGAGTTGACCAATGTGCACTGCTTGATGCAACATCAACGGTGAACCATCGGCGGAGCAGTCCGTGACTAGACGGTGCCGAACCCACCTTCGGTGTCGGCCGGCAGGGGGCTGCGAGTTGGAAGCCGGAAGGGGACGTCTTGTGAACTCTGGCATGGATGTGAGAAGTGATGCAGGAGAGATACCAGCTCTTGGCAACTTGGGCATTGTGACTCAGACCAAAGACATCACTTGAATGTCATTTCGAGCGGCCGGCTCTATAGCCCAAAGCCCAGCTTCGCAAACGGACGCAGCGCTACCCAACGGATCCTCAGAGGAGTCGAATCGCACGATGGCGCTCAATCATCGCAAGATCTCATGCTGTCAGTAAAGTCTCGATGCTGCGGGTTGCTGCGGTTTGCTGACGTGCCATGTGCATGGCATTATCCCAATTCGGAGACCGGTGTGAAAGAGGACGATGAAGAGGCCGCAAAGTTGCCGGCATTTGCTTGGCGACGGCAGCCAAGCTGGCTACAGTGACAATAGCGCTGCAAGATGCCCAGGATAGTAATGCAAGACGCAGCCCCCAGCGCCGCTTGGATTTGGAACGCCAGTAGTATCCCGCCGGATGTGCGCCCGCGGACGTCTTGCAGAGGACCCCCAAAACTCTTGCGCCATGCCCAAAATGCGGGTGATGAAAGATGCATGATGGCGCATGCAAACGGAGCGAATTGAGTTTTGGTGGGCAGCGCGCCGAGCCTACGCCTCCAATGCACCTTCAGCTCATCGTCTCACGGCTACTGCGGATGCAGGGCTAGACAGCCTGTAACGAATTAACTACTCACGCCGAGAACCAAGGGTTTGTAGGTTTGTTCGGTTTTGATAGGGTGTCCAGGTTGTTCCTCACAAGCAATCACTGACACAGGCTCGGGCCGTTGCCGGTGTCGCTGTGGGAGGTACACTCCGTTGCGTTGACAGCGTCCGCCCCCAAGTTTGACCCGGAAGGAAAATTTTCCGCTAGCCCAAAAACCCCCTAAACCCCCCTAAACTTCACACTTAGATAACTCTATGCGTACGTAATGCGTGTAAATGAAATATATATCAATCGATAGCCCTCAATTAGGTGATTATAATGATATCTTTTTTATCTACGCGCACTGCGTACGCATAGAGTTATCTAAGCGTGAAGTTTAGGGGGTTTTAGGGGGTTTTTAGGCTAGCGGACACTAAACGCAACGCTGAAAAGAAAAAACGAAACCCCTTGTACGTAGTGTTCACAGTGTCCTCCTTAAAAACCCCTTAAAATTAGCCTTAACTTCACACTTAGATAACTCTATGCGGACGCAATGCGCGAGAATAAAAAAGATATCATTATAATCACCTAATCGAGGGCTATCGATTGATATATATTTCATTTACACGCATTACGTACGCATAGAGGTATCAGTGTACGAAGTTTAGGGCGTTTTGGTGGTTTTTTGGTAAAAAGCCCCTTTTTTTGCCTTTTTCGGGCTAAAAACTGCGGGGTGGACGCTGTCAACGCAACGGAGTGTATCATGGCTAGCCTGAATAGGAACCGATGCACCGAGCCTGTCATCCGTCTTTACTTGCGCACAAAACAACTCGAATCATAGCCGATCTTGAATAATGTATTCGGTATAGACACTCATCGTTGGAAACGAGGAAAAACGTCTTCGATTTATTACGCCGACTCGGTCAGTCACGGTTAGGCTCAATGACGGTGTAAGATCTCCAACCCCCATTTTTGCGTGCATGCTCCACGGCATCCTCGTGGCCATCTAAACCGAAAGTCGTGATTTCTGTTTCACTTTCCTGGCCAATTCTCAACTGCTCCTGAGTGATCATATTGATGACCTGATCAAGCGTCTGACGCTCATACATCCATTTGCCGATCAGTTGGATGTTTTTCAAGATAAGAAGCCCGTATGGAAGGCGGCATTTCTCCCCCGCTCCTCCACTTAGTACGATCCTTCCACTCTGCTTCATGGCCAAGACCGCAGCTGAGAGGTATGGCGGCGTTGCCAGCTCCCCTGGAGTCCAATCATTGAACACATCGGCGCCCCTGTTGTTTGGCGTTGCCCTCAGTATGGCTGCGGCGTCAACTTGATCGTCTCCAGTCATGACGACGGTTTTCAGGCGAGGGTTTGCAAGCTTTTCCCGCATCGCTGCCAATTTGCCTTCACTCCGGCCCAACGCGATCACCTCAGCACCAACAGCGAGAGCAATCTCGACCGCTGAACCGCCAAATGAGCCACCAGAAGGTCCGACAACGACGACTTCAGCAGTCTTGACTCGAGCCGCTTCTAGTAATGCGCCGGCAGCCACGGCATAGTGCGCAATGGTGTGGAGGACGGCTGCGTTGTAGCCCAAGTCGCCGCAGAGACGCTTCTCATCAAGTAGAAAGCAGGCTTCCAGTGGAACCTTTTGGAACTGTTGCCAGGACCCGTCTCGCCAGACTCCTCTCATGAGCTTCTGGGCGTCTGGATGACCTCCAGTCATATGGCCGGGCATGAGGGCGACATTCGCGTCGTCTCGAGCCCTGATCAAGCCGTCGATGAATACGAGATCGCCCTTCTTGAGACGAATGGCATCCGGTCCAACGTCGTGAATGCGTCCTATGCCGGATGGATTTGGGACGAGCGGTGGCGTCAAGTTGAGAGCAGGCAGTTTGCCTGAATGTATCAGGTGAGTGTAGGGAGCAACGCCAGTGGCTAGAATCTTGACCACCGCGGTTCCTACGTCCGCATTTGGCACAGGGAGATCCACTATGGAGAGGGGTTTCGAAAAGGAAGAGAGCCAAACGGCACGATTGGTAAGATCAATAGCCGGCATTTTGTCTTACTGTACAAGTGAAGGTCAGAACGATAGAGGGAGCTTCAAAATAATTTTGAGAGCTTCAGTCTCAGGAAACAAGAGTCATGCTGCGCTTAAGTAAATATTCACTCTGAGAATTTCAATTGACCCGGAATCTCGGCCATGAGCTGGGTTCCTCTCGGGGAAGGTTTGGTGTGTCTCGGGCCGTATCAGAAACCCGATTTCCTGGCCGTGATCGGTCCAAGAGGCCGAGTTCATAACACAAGGTTCTATTGCGTAACTTAAATTGACTCCAGGAAATCTGAGACAGGGGCAGACTCATTATTGTCTTCAGAGCTTCACCTACAGAACCAATCTTTACCACACAAGGCGCGAGTTGATTGGGAATATTTGGCAGAAAGGGCACGAGATAATCAATACATTCTTTCAAAGTCATTAAATTACAGTAGACATCTGCAGATTCTCACACAATGTTGTAGGCATGACGGTTCTTCTCGGTCAATTGATTATCACTTTCAATACCAAAACTTAGCACTTTGCTATGAGCTATGGTGCCTCTTACACTGACACAGAGGTACGTAACAAATCGACAGGCAAAACGGAAACCTCATATATCTCCTCCCTTGGCGGCGAAGAGACCACCTACTTGCCGCGCAACTTGGAGTAGATGCTCGTCACGAAACCTCGATGTGACGAGAGATAGCCCCACAGGCATGTCATCCTCACCCTTAAATCCGGGAACATTGATGACGGGCATATGAAGGGCCTGTACATGTTAATGAGTACGACGACTTCGACGAGATAGAGGTAGACTTACCGTCCACATGGCGTTGAAGTCTGAGCTACCGGTCCCCGCCCCTTTAGGTGCCACGTCTATGGCACTGGGTGTGACAATCGCCGTGTACCGGTCAGCGATCTCGTCCATCTTTGGTCTCAGCGCCGCAATCTTGTCCAGAGCTCTCACGTATGCTTTCTTCGACCCCGTGTGAGCAGTCTGTGCAATACTTGCGAGGTAGTCACTGATCTGGTCCCGCGAGGTGCTATATTCTCTGTGGAAAGCTACACCAACTTCGGCCTCCAGTATCTCGTTCTGCAGAGATATTATATCGTCAAACTCATGAGGTAACGTGACTTCAACAACATGCGCGCCGGCCTTTATGAGGATCCTGGCGGCTCGTTGCAGAGCCGCAACGGTGCCGGGCCCGGCACTTGGCCATATTGGCGACTTCACGAAAGCAAAAGTCGCCTCAGTCAATGGTATTTGGCGAGGTGGCTCATCATCACGAAGCCCAAGAACTTTGCCTACCTGTTGGAGGTCGGCAATACTGCGCGCCATGACGGCAAAAGTATCCAGCGTTAATGACGACATCTTTTGGCCTTCGGGTGAAATGGCGTTCCATGTTGGCTTGAAGGCGTAGACTCCTGTGAATGATGCTGGTCTGATAGTGCTTCCAACCGTCTGAGTGCAAAGAGCAATCGGGACTTGCATGTCTGCAACGGCGGCGGCTGAGCCGGAGGAGGAGCCGCCGGGTGTCCTCGAAGTGTCGTGTGGGTTTCTTGTGCCTGGTCCCTCAAAGGTTGCTGTGAATTCTGTGGTGGTTGTTTTTCCTGTGGGCATCGTCAGCGCTTGCTCTGTTGAAGGGACCCTTGTCACTTGATCACTTGCCTAGAATCAGCGCCCCGTTCCGTCTCAATACAGCGACTGACGCTGCATCGCAGAGGGGAGCATCGTTGGCATGGATCGGTGACCCATGGCGGGTGGGGAATTCTGTGTGCGGAGTAGTTAAAACCGGAGTCTACTATCATGAACAAGAATGGATCTTACCCTCTGTTAGGATGGCGTCTTTGACGCCAATGACGAATCCATGTAGTGGCCCTCTTCGTTCCCGTGGAATTCGGTCAAGCAATCGAGCTTGTCGAAGGGCCCTGTCAGGCTCGATATGTGCCCAAGCTTTGATATCTCTATCGCGTTCTTGGTATCTCTCAAGAAGCGAGCTGACGTATCTTTCCAGTGTTTCTTCATCGGCATCGATGAGACGCCGCACTTCAATGGCCGTCATCCTGAGGTGAGAGGAGCGGTGTACCGGAGATGTCTCCATTGCTGGAGAGCAGAACGTGAATGACTGTCTGGTTTGCACTTTGTCAGACATGGCCTGATATTGTTGAAGCTTTCTGTTTGGCGGATGACGCTACTTATATATGTAACTGCACTGCCCTTCATTCATCTACCGGTTTCCATGCCTTCTACTCATTGGCATCGAACACCCAATCCTGCCGGTCTATCAGCATCAATGCATCTCCGTGACTGCCATCCGATTTTCTGGCCGATGAAAACGTGATAAGACTTGTTGGTGCCCACCATTCATGCATTTTCCGAAATGGGACAGATGTGACATGATTGTGCATGCGCATGCAGCAGCAACCAACGTGGCAGTCCCACGTTGAGTGTCAGCATCAAGCCGGGATTTTGCAATGCTTGCGGGGCTTTTGGGACCAAACATTGGCGACAACAAATCGTCGTGTCAATGCAGCAGCGGAAAACCGTCTGCGAGGACTGTTTTGAGTGCATGGGGTGATGAAAGCCCGGAAGAAACATCTGTCTAGGTATTGTCAAGATTGAGTTAACGGATGACATCGCATCCTCAGGATTCACTAGAAAAAGCTTTTCAAGACATCATCCTGGATAACGCATTTTTTTGACGCGCTTTTGCTTCAGTGAAAACCATTCGATTGTGCAAACCCTCATCCGCGTGAAGGGAATTTACGGTTCAGTATTTGTGTCCGAAATTGTCCTGACTTGCTAAACAATCTACCTATTATTCTATTAGATGCTTTTGCTCAGTCATTAGTATGGCAAAACACACCAAGTTTGTCGCTTCCTGTTCATCATAGATTTGTTTTGCGGCTTGGGGAATCGGCCACCAAACATTTGGAGACGAAGGAACTTTTTGCCTGGCATCACTATGAAGTAGTCTTAAAGGGAGCAGCCCTGGATGACAGAGTTGCCTATATGCGGTTTGAGAGTTGTTCTTTTGTATTCATACATTTGTTGTGAGATTGTGCCCAAAACAAGTCCTGGCACGACTCAGTGTAAATATTAATGGTCACGGCCATGGTGTTTCCAAGCTGCTATCGTTTGAAAACACTCGCCGAGAGTCACCAGAGTCTAACGTGTATACAGTCTTTCTAAAGATATCCCAACCTAGTTTGCAGAAAAGCATCGCTGCCTCAGTTCTGCGACAGAGGCTCAATTACAGACAGACGCAGCGATGGACCGTTGTGATAAATCTCATAGACTGAATGAGCCACCACAAGTAATTCGGAGACGTCTCACCAGCTTATAGAAGAGCCGCATTAGTGACTCATTCTCGCCCATTCAACCTCTAGGCATTTAATTCTGTGCTGGAACTCCAGACACTATATCCCACTAGACCCGAAAGGCGTTCCTGCGAAGCATAAGATGACCACCCTTCACCGAAATCCGAACCAAGAACTCCGCTTTCAGTAAAGTACTGTCAAATTCTAGGCAGTGACAGAGTGATGAAACCATGTCTTGCACTTTGGTCACTCATTCCTCAAACATGATTGGGCATGAAAGAGCAATCCGGCTGCCGCCGCATGGCACAGCCTGGTGCGCCGTAAGCGACGAACGATGCTTCGCACTCTTGAATCCCAGAAAACCTTCGCCTCCACCAGATCCTAGGCTTCCTTTGACGGGTTCGCTGACGGCAGGCCAAGGCGGGATCTGACATGGGTTTCGCGCCCTGGATTGGTCTGGGTCAGCACGAAAGAGCCTTTTCCCGCACTCTTTTAGCATAAGGGAAGCAGGTCCCTCGGCACATCGACGATGCTGACATCAGCACGGAGAATCCTTCGCCTGGAGTGACCGGGGGTGATGACCCGACTGGACAGCGATCCACGACATGTCTTGCCTATTTCGGTGGCTGAGAGGTTGCGCTCGCCTTCCGACGAACTACTAAAACATGGGGGTTGACTGGGGTTGGGTAGTCATCTGATAGGGCTGTTCGGTTGGTAATCCTGAGCTGGGAGACATAAGTTCTTTCCATCAAGACAGCGTGTCGCAGTATGCAGAAATAATTTAAACTGGAGTGGTCCGTCTTGGTTTGGTCTCTCGTCGTTTCAAGACGTCGATAATCTTTCAATCTTGGCTCTCATGGCTCCAGACAAGTTAAACACAACTCAATCAGCTCCAGGACGAGTACCGACTTACCATAAACACTCGTTCAAAAGGCAGCCTCACGTCTTAATGCCGCAAACAAGAGGTCACCGCATAGTGTATCTAGGCCCTCCCATATACGTAAGAAAACTGCCGGTGATGGAGCCTCGGTATTATGGACCAAATTCGGACTTTAGAGGTATGCAGCGTTGGTTTCTGAAGTACAGGCGACAGACTGACTGGCTCATAGCTTTGCAAAAGTTGAAACCAAGGTTTCTGGCAGTACCAGAAAAGCCCAATAATACACGGCACTCGGTCCAATTCTCTGACCAACGTCGAAGTCCCACTTCATCGTCTCCATCCGTCCGAGGCAATTGCGAAGATGAACGTAGCAGCACAAGTGACAATAGCGATTTGGACACGACGGCCGAAAACATGGCGAGCAACCACTTCAATTATAAGGGCACAAGTCGGCGGAGTACACCACAAGTTAAGGAATAACAGTGCGCATGGCGATATCGCCATCCAGATACCAAGCCAAGGCCAATGGAGCCAATAAAATACGTACATCATCCCTCTTATTCTGCAAGTAGACCAACATCATGCCACACCATCCAAACATGCGGGACAACTCAACGGTTGCCGCTGTTCCTCGCACAGCTTTCCCGAACCTGATGTCTGCAAAACAGATGTCTCCACCGATGCATCCATACATGCAGTGGCTGTGCGCTAGTCCCGGATATCCTCATTCCGTATCATCGGAGCATACTCTCAAGTGCTTTCCCTCCTGTAGCAAGCGAGCCCATGCAGCATATCAACCATGGCTCAAGCCTCGCATATACACTCTTTGCTCAAAGCTCATGATCATCCATCAATTCTGGCTCGCTTTGTGCACTGTGAGCAAGTGCAATGATTGTCGTCTCTGTGCATGTCGTTGGCGTCCGCCTCGTCGATGGCTCTCTTCAACGGCCGAGTCTGGGCATCCCATACCAGATCTAGAGATGCTCTCGGGTCTTCTCTGTCGTCATCATCGGAAAGTAATTCGACATAAGTGACCGAAACAGCTGGGTCGTTCAACTGGTCTTCGTGAGAGTTAACTGTCTCGCCGGGGAAATCTTCATCGAAGCGTTCGGTAGCCAGCTGCAGCAGCTTCTGCCGGAGGTGCATCATATCGGCCTCTTCCGGGAGAGGATTTTCTTCGATCAGGTAGCTCAAGGCATCAAGGACGTAGACACCGCAGCTGGTGGCATCAGGTTGACGGGGGCCGGTCTGGGAGGTGCAGGTCAGCCAAGAGCAACAACGCCAAAGGGCACGAGTTGGAGTCGGGACTTACCAGGTCCTCCATCATGAAACTATCGCCGGTCAAGTCCTCCAGCCAATTCAGGACACGTTGGCAAATTTTGTAGATCATCTCCGCATCGCCCATCGGGTCGTAGTGTCTGAAAGTGTGCGCAGCGAGGTCGATCTCACCAAGGGTCCAGTGCAGGGGACTGTCGTGGTGCATGACAGCGAAGACTCGCCTCGCCTTGAAGGCGGCCCTGGGAAGTCTGGAAGGCAAGTCGCCATCAATATTGAGCCATAGGGGGTGCATGAGTAGAGCGTTATTGGCAGCTTCAGAATGATCAAGAGCAGAATCCGCGATGAGCTCTTGCATCAGCTCAATAGTGTCACCCGTCAAGCGCTCTCTGGGTCCTTGCAGCTGAAATATGGCTTCTTCGAATTGCCAGTAGCGCTGTTGTACCAACTTGTCCTCTGCAGCTCCCAGATCGGAGCAGTCAGAGCCTTCGCGGTCCAGATGGAGGGGCTCGACTGCATGCTGTCTGTTGTGGTCAACGTGGTCAAGGCAGACGTCCTCGTCCTCGAGGTAGAAGGGTTCATCTTCTCTCAAGCCATAGGCCTGCTCCTCAGCGAAGAATCCGGGGTTTTCCATTTCGGCAGTGGAGGCTTCGGCATAATGAATGTTGTTCCCCTCCAGGATGCCTTGTATTTCGGCTGTGCCGAAGCCATCCTCTTCACTCCATGAGATTCTATCACCTTCAGTGGGGATAAGATAATTATCAGATCTGCGAATGTTTCTCGTCAGCCGATGATTTTCTTAACATGATGTGTGGTACCTCACTCGTTGAAATCGTGATGTACGGATGAGTCGTCAAACTGGTCACGTCTCATCGCTGCAAAAGCAGTGATGCTAGTGTCTCCAAGAGGCTCCGAGGCATTCTCGAAAGTAATCAAAGGGGAGAGGGCGGAATTTTCTGCCATATTTGCTGCAGTGCTGGATTTGGTGCTGGAGTTGATGGTCCTTGTGATTCGGTTGCTGTTTTCACTGGGAAACATTCGAGCTGTGACGGCGGCGTGGAACGAGGCGGTCCCTGGCAAACGAAGGAAATCCAAGCGAAAAGGAAGGAGGGGCGACCGACGAGAAAGTAGGAGTTGGTAAACGAGTGAAAAGTGAGCGTGGTGCGAAATTGAGGTCAAAGTCCGAACTTCCGGGCTCTCGGGCGATCCGTCGAAGTGAGGGACCCGGGTTGGACGGGGTTCAGATGGAGGAGCAGGAACCGATGGTGAGAAGAAACAGCTCCTTCCAAGAATCAAAACAAAACGAGCAAGAGGCAGGATCTGTTAGCTTCATCACTGCTGCCATCGAGACGACGCCCGTCTCGAAGGAAGATCTTTGTTTACTTGGCTCAATGGAGGGTGGGGGTTGGCGATGTTATTGAATATTGGTGAAAGGACGAACCCACTCGGATGCATCAGCCTGCAAATCGCAGATACACTCATGATGCCCTCGATTGACCCAAAGTCAAAGGTAACAGCTTCTACAAACTCGTGGCTTTGGCTTGCTGCACACTTGCGCGCACGTATCGGGTATGACCTTGACATCAAAGTTTGGATCCTCTGATTTGGGCCTGAGTGTTGTCGGATGGGGACATGGCACGCCGCACTGGCGGGTTGCATTTGTTCAGAATCTATCTGACTAGAATTTATTGTGCAAAGGGACACCGTGAGAACCGAGAGTACTGTACATTGACCAAACCGAGCCATTCCCGCAACCAAATCCTCCTCAAATTATCTTCAAACGCCGCGATATTTCACCTTGTCTACCATGTTACAAACCCGAGTGAGATGGAACGTATTCATCGGCCGTCTCCTCCAATCTCTCCAGGCCAGGAAGGCCTTGGGCCGGGACGAAGGCAGCAAATGCTTCCTCAATTCTTTGTCTCTTGGACTCGCGGCCAGTAATCTCCATCTCGATCAAGCGCTTCTGGCGGGTAATGTCCTTCAGCTTGGCTTCAATATCGGCAAAGCTGTCACTGCTGGCTGGGGTGGTTGTGCCGGAAGCGTTCGACGCCTCACGATCGCGTGGGTCGGATGCCTGGGACTGGATCTTCTCCCAAGATCGTTGCATGCCAGTGCGAAGCTCCTCGATGGCGAGGTCGGCCTCACTCATGCGGTCGTAGGCATCCGACAGCTCGTCGTCAGAGTGACGCAGGAGTTCGATGACGGTGGCGATTCGATCAGCAATTCCAGTAAGCTGAGTGACCTGAGCTTGAGTGGCCTGGACGTGGGGTCTAGAGACGGGCTGGGCTGCATCAGACTGCGCAGCTTGTTCGGAAAGGTTGAAATCCGTTCCCTGGAAAGGTCGACGGGGGTACGCGCCACCGGCATTGACAGCTTCCAACTGGCTCCCTGTGTGATGAACTTCTCCGATGTGACCGGTAGAGTCCTCAAAGGCATGGCAGGGACGCTTCAGCAGCTTTTCCTCGTACTTGTCGAAAGCGGCAGAGCTGGGGGTTCTAGACATGAAATCGAACAGGACCCGCTTGCGGGGATCCTTCGCGGCAACGTCGCAGTTGGAGGCAGACGCTTCGTTCGGGTTGGGCTCGCGGGCTTTGATCTGCGTAATCTCGACGTCGGACTTCTCGTCTCGGTGGACGGTAGAGTTGTGGAAGACATAGTCTGTCTCTGTGCTCGAAGTCAGCAACCCAGTGACACTAACAAAAAGGACAGGCGTGGCGAGCCCGAGGAGTGCAAGAGTGATCCTACCAGGATCGCCTTCGCGTCGGAAGGTGCGCTGAGCATGGTCATAGTGGATGATCTGCGGCTCGTGCTGGATAAGTCCCAAGCCCGGAATCTGCTGCTGGGGACAAGTGCCAAGGTGAGGAAGCTGCAAGTCGTTGTTCGGGCATTGCGCGATGCTCTCTCGGGAAGGATCGCCGGTGCTGGGAGGCGACGAGAAATCCATTTTTGTGAATGCGAGGAAGGATCTTGAGGGAAGGTTTTGTTGCTTTTCCGACACGAGACAGCAGCAGCAACTGCCGGAATGTTCTGGATGAATGAGATGACTGTCAACTCTGGTAGTCAGGCTGCAGACACCGTGGCTGAAAGCAAGGCAAGAGACGTCGGAGTCGACGTCTTGGTGCTCGGATTTCCTCGATTCCCAGGGAAGTGGCTTCACAACACGGATGTTGAAGGAAGGAGGAAAGTTTCAAGTTGAAAATTCGAGGTCTGGAAAGAACTGGAACGTGTCGAGGGGCAGGAAAGGAAGGTCAGTGCCATCGACACCTGCCTTTGACATGAGCAGCACCTTCCCCGAGACTGCCATGGACCCGCATGGGCTGAGGCTTTCGTCACAGCCAGGCAAGTACTGTCTCGGCAGCATGTGGAAGGCGAGGACCCTGAGACGAGGCCTCTCAAGCGAATTGTCCAAAATCATTCAGAAGTGCAGGCTGAAAGAATCGCTGCGTTGTGGTTATGGTTGTGATAGTATCTTTGTGCATGATGAGCCTTTGACGTTGCTGAGTGAATGGAAACCAAAAGAACAGAAAGCATAGAAACAAATCGAGATGCCAAAGTAATAAATCTTGAAGAGCCTTAAGACTGATACATTGAAGCGGAAAGAATCTTGCTTGAATGGGGCCTGGAAATAGTGTCAACGTGGGCATCCATAATACCCAGTGGGGAGTCGAAAAGGCAGAGTGTCATAACTCCGGTGTCTCGATGGGTGATATCAACCTGTCAGAAGCAATACATTTTGGGCCGAGCTTCGATGAGAGTGATGTTAAGGCCATAAGCCTTTCGCAATACGCGGGAGGTGATACATGTTGTCCTTGAGCCGAAGATTGCGATGTCCACTACTGATACCGACCATAGCGATGGATGGTCGGCCAGCAAGTGTGGCGCCGACTGCCAAAAGGACGGGACTGAGTAGAATTGGCTACAGACACTCCAGGATCGAACATGCCCGCTACTCGGCCTCAGAAACACCTTCCAAAGAACTAAACATGTACAAAAGACTCGGTAGGCTTGACTTTCAGCGAAGGGGCAGTAGACTTTGGGTACCTCACATGCAATGGCGCCTCATATCATTTGATGAAGAAAGATTAGATAGCCTGCGTTGACTGTGACGAAGACTTCCCCTCGTCAATTTTTCGAGCTCTAGAACTCAAAGACTGTTATCCTGATTCATCGTAATTTCAGAAATCAGGCTCGTGATCTGTTCATGATGCTCATGAACTGCGAACTCATACTGAATGTTCTTTCAATGCTTGTTGCCTGAGAGTTCATTGCTTCCATTTCGACGAATCATTTCCATGCAATGGTCTCCAGCAAAATAGCTTCTGATGTCTTATCGTCGGTCCCGGGCCGGGTAGTGGACCGATGCGGGGTAAATCTGCCGGCAGGTCATCCGAACGGCCGGTAAATTGGTGGTCTCGTCTCATTTAACCTTTCGAATCTGGCATAGTGTTGGTTCTCTCTCCACTCGGTGGCGGGGCACCGATCACGGCGACACTAGTCACGTCGAAGATAACAGTCGTCAACAGAGCACATTTTGGTCTCATTTAAGCTTCTATTCTCTGCCTGCTCGTCTTCAGTGCATCATGGTATTTTACACGGGGCGCTTTGGGCATTTACCTGCGAAATCATGCCCCGGAAGCCCCGTCCCTACCGGCCCAAGACAAGAGGTCCGATTGAACTCCACCCCAGGGTACACCCCTAACACCAGATTTGAACTAATCCCAGGCTTTACTTCGAACATAGGCTGCTTTGAGTGCTCAAAACGGAGGATAAGCTGCGATCGTACCGAGCCGCAATGTGAGAAATGCCAATCCAGAGGCCTAAGGTGCAGTGGGCTCGGCATTCGACACCGCTTCAGCGATGGTATCGCTGCCCGGGGCTTCTGGGTCGGCAAGACAATCCAGGAAGTCTTTGAGGGGTGCGCTATATCACCATACCTCTTTCGGTAACCCGTTTCTACTTTCTAACAGCGGTTAGGCGAGATGCCGAACGACAAGTAAAAGCGTCATCCCTGGAGCGGATATCAAAGCCATGCCCGAACAGCGCGAAGCTGTGCGGAGAACTTGGCAGCGAGGAACATTTCCCGCAGGACAACGATCAAGGACTGGGTCATGCGGATATCCCGGCCTCTCCCAGCGAAATTAACGTCGATGATAACGTCGATGATAACGTCGAGTCTACGGAGGATGTATCAAACAGTGAACCTCTCCTCCAGATGCAGAGGCCACAGGAATTCGCTCAGTCAAGAAATATAGCAACAACGGGGATAGCACAGAAACATAGCTGTCTGAGGGTTCAGCCGTCACCTGCCAAAGTCGCATCGTGGGCGCTGCCTCTTCTTCTTCACTGTTCGCCTCGTTCCAATCTCCTCACGCCAGTCTTCCTCGAGTTGCTCAACCTGTTGACCGTCTTCTTAGTCTCCGATCATATCGCCGGGGAAATGGTAGCGATAGATGGCTTGCACAACGGGTGGAGGCATCTGGTCCTGCCCATTGCCCATCTAGATCAATTGGTACTAAACTCAGTGTTGACAGTCGCCTCCTTCCATCGATACGGGCAACACTTATCTCAACCAAAGAACCTGGATGTCCGTGAGGATTCCCTTCCAGTACCGCCGGGCCTGTCATATCAGCTATCTACAAACGCCAACCCTCCTGCATCTCAGCTGTACACTTGGACAATTGCAGATCTGCAACGCCGAGATCTCGGACATAGCGATCAATCCTCTAGACTTTCCATCTTACTCGCCATCCTGGTGCTGTTGGTGGCAGTCATGGTCACAGGTTCAGATGACTTCCCGCTACTATTTCGCCTACCTGAGTCCGCACTCGAAGCCATCGGGGGAGAAGACAGCCTGGGCGAAGACGAGCTGTCACGGTTTATCGTCCGCCAAGTTCACAAGTAAGCGTTTGTAGATCTTCGCGACTGGAGAGCCCCGCCTTTTCCGTAGCAACAGTTACCTTGCGCCGTCAGGGCTCCTGGGGTCTAGGCTCTGATCACGGCTAACTTGTCCACTTCTAGAATGCGGGTATACGCTACACCGCTGATCAATGAGCAGTGGGGCATCACAACACTGAGCACACACCAGAACATCACGCAGGCATTTGAATGCATCCGGCACTGCTCTCAGCACCAGCCAGAGCACTATCCGATTACGTCGTTGGTCATGAGTCTCATCCAGCAATCCTACGACATATATCTCGACCAAGCGCATCGTGATATACTGTCGGCAGCTTCCGGTAGCAACAGCTTTCCACAGTTCGCCGAGTCTATCTGCCGGGTTCAACGATTCAAGGAGACGTTTGAATCTTTCCCTGCTGACTCGCCCGGTAAACAAGTCCTCATCTGGGCAACCTTTATGGCGGCTTCCGACAGTGTTCTGGAAGAGCATAAATCATTCTTCCGGGACGTCTTCGCATCTTTCTACAAGCGCAGCGGCTTTGAGAATCTTCGCAAAGGCATGGATCAACTTGAACGAGTCTGGAAAAGGAGAGCATTGGGCGATAGATGGATCTCATTACTGCCACAAGCTAAAGTATTCATCATGTGATCAATGTGAGCCCGATTGCTCCATGACATAAAGTACCATGTTCTCAGGGAGTTTTCGTGATTGATCGAGCCATGGGAAGGGAAGCTTTCTTGGGCTACTTGACTTTTCTAATGGTGCATAGAAAGTCCTTTCAAAGAGCTGATGCAAATGGTCTTTCCGGCCGTAAATCGTCCATGACGGCCTTGGCAGCTCTGGTACCTTCCTCGATAGCGCCATCAATGAATCCCCTCCATCCTAAAGCCCAGTCCCCACTGGCAAATAGTACATTGCCTTGGTGTTTTCGGAGATCTTCGAGGTACTTGAAACTGTAGCCTGGTGCAAAATTGCACCATGTTCCTCGTGAAAATGGGTCAGCAAGCCAATTGTGCCAAACCTGGATAAACATTAGCAAAAGTCCAGCTGAGTCTGACATGGCGTATATATGCGCAATGGGGACATACCACATGCTTGACATTCATTTCTTGAATTCCTTGGGCGTCGGATAGGAAGTCGCAAATATCCTCTTTCGGGTCGGAAAAGTCTCTGTTGGACCCAAAGAACACCAAGTGCGTGTTTCCTCCTTGAGTAAGTCCATCTCCTCGGCAACTGAATACCCGACGAGCTGGCCATGATGCACATGCCCAAGTGCGCAAATTCTCACCTTCAGTCTCCATGTGTACTTTAGCGGCGAAGTTGATGTGCCCCCGGCGGGATGCATCAATTTTGCCCGCAGAAAGAGGAGGCTCGAAGTGGACTTCGTGAAGGATGTTTAACGGGACGGTGCAAATCAATTTTTTGCCGGCCCAGGTCTGGCCTGTCTTGCTTCGAAGCAAAACACGATCCTCCTGATTTTGGACACAATTGACGTAGGTGTCAAAAGCATATCCAAGATTACCCGTTGACAAGGCCTCTTCGAAAAGTCGTCTAGCGAAGTTAGACTGGCCCATCGCGATCTTGAAGCCCTCGGTCCCTTCGTAATGTCCGGCCGCAGAGTAACCGCAAAGAGCCCACCACCGTAGGACGTCGAAGAAACCCGAGCTTTGCATATCGTTGCCTGTGATTACTGCGATGTAGGCTTGGAGGATTGACATTTCGGTCGAGCTCAATTTTCCGTTGATCTCATGCAGCCGCTCTGCGACCGACATCTTTTCCCACTTTTTGGCGGCCGGGTTGAATTGAGGATTGTGGGGGTATGGGATGACAGCCCTCCCCCCTTTCCCATCAATATCGCATAGTAGCTCGAATGCTTTGTGAATAATATGATCCTGCATCCGTAGACGTATTTGTCAGTGGTAAGTATTTCATGGATTGCCTGAGGAAAGTGTGTGATTGTCCGTACCGCATCCTCATGTGAAAGTGTCGAGACAGCATTGCCTGATACGGTAGTGAAGTAGTTGCAGCCAGCTCCACCGCTGTCGCTGCTATCAACCATTTCAAGTGTTCCATACCGGCTCATCTCTCGATACAAGTGCGGTTGGTTCCAATGAATCCACGTGCCGCCCATTTCGTACAGATGCCCATCCACCTCCGCAGTATAAGTCCGTCCGCCGATTCGATCGCGAGCTTCAAGCAGCAGTACCTTGTAGCCTGCGAGTAAAGATTAGCCATCGCTCTGAAATGTTGCGGCTGCACTGAACCCTAGTCTCACCAGAAAGGCAAAGGCCTCTGCAAGCAGTGAGACCGGCGTAGCCTGCACCAATAATTATCACATCAAAGGCATCCCACATTGGGGACGGGATGTTCGTGCGAGGGGAGACGACAGCTGAACATTTCAATCCAGACTTCAGTGTACCGTCGTTGGGGTGGAAGCAAAATCCTTCACGAGTCGACATTGTGCTTTAGAGACTTAGCCACTTTCAAACCAAGCTCGGTTCTGTCTGCTGGGTCGTCTGTCCGGGAAGGAAGGTTTCTCTGCTGCAAGGAAATGTTCAGAGGTTCTCATCAATCTTCATCTTGAGGTGGATAAGTGACTATATCCGAGTTAATTAAAACCGGCAATATCCTTAGCCGCGGCTCCATATGCGATTGCGCTTGTATTATGCAGAAAAGGGTAGGCCCAATTGATGATCCGCCAGCAGCCATCCCCAGGGTCATTATGCCGTACGAAATTACCCAAATGGGAAGGCCAGGTGAGACCAATAATTAGCCTCAGCCTCTCATCATTCATAACGTCGGCACCTGGCGCATGGGCGAATGTACTTTGGTGCTATCAGCGACTTATTGCGTATGCAGATAAGATCGGAGCGGTCGGCATGTTTGAGGTACTCTAAAGCAAGGTTTACGATGCAGCACCATAACCAGAGATAACACATGATCGAATTGACCAACGCGAAAAGGTCATATGTCCATCAATCTCGGGGCTAACCCGATAAAGTGTTTACTTGGTAGATATCTCATGCTTACGAACTATTTATTGAATGGCATCCGTGCATTTCTCTCAAGTTACTAGTACGACTTACTTTTAATTTCAAATAGATATCTTCATATTCGTTTGTCAATTTCCACGCACATGAAGTCAGGATGGCTATAGCAGCCAGCGACCATGCTAAGAATGATCCAGGCGCGACACCTCACGGTTCATATGACGAGGAGGAGGGCCAACTTCATGACCAATCTCTCGATCGAAACTCACTGCCCAGGATTTACAGCTCCTGGACTGGTGGGTGCCTTTTCCCCCTTCTGCTCCGGCTTCATTTCTCCTCGCTATCAATACATCAACTGACATTATCGGCGGTCCTCAAGCGTCCGCGTATCAAGTCTTGATGATGGCGAGTTGGACATGTAATATTGTTCTATACGGTACCATATTTGATGTTGGAGGGCCGATGATGTTGATTTACTCGACGTAACTTCCTATTCTTGACATGCTGAGAAGGTCTATTCTGATGCGTTTTCAGTATCATTGTCACCATTGGCCAATCCCTTCTGATGAGTTCGCTCGCAGAACTCTGCTCAGTCTACCCCTACGCAGGCGGCCAACAGTATGTGATCCCTCCAACTTCTTCCACTTCGGTTACCACTCTAACTAAAGGCTAGAGCGTTCACCAAAGCATTAGCACCTCAACGGTAAGTGTTGGACTCACGTCTCGAAAAAGGCCTCGGGCTAATGAATTCAGAGTTCGTCGTTTGCTTTCATATCTCATTGGTTGGGTTGTGCTTCTCGGCGAGATCGCAACTTCAGCTGGATGTTCCATGAACAGCGCTCTTGTTGTTGGAGGACTAATTCAGCTCACTCATTCAGACTTCCAATTACAGGTGAGGGCCAACACCATAAGCCAATTGATGCGCGTGATCTGATCCTTCACAGCCATGGGCAGTGTGGCTGCTCTATGCCGGGTTTCTCATCGTCTCTGTCGCATTCTGTCTTTCTCAGAGGCATCTCCCCCTGGTATCAGCGGTCGGTGCCATGATCACTTTGGGTGGGGGTCTTGCATGGGGGATCTCATTCCTCGTCATGGCCCCGAAGGTGTCACCCCACTTTGCGTTCACCGAGTTCATCAACAACTCTGGATATACCCACGTCGGCTGGGTTGGAATTATGAGCTTTTACGCACCATCATATGCGCTTTACGGTACTGATGGAATTTTGCACATTGTTGAAGAAATAAAGGACGCCGAAAGCAACGCACCAGTAAGATCGCATCTTCTTGAAATATGGCATATTGATTGCAGTGACTGATATACTTTCTGCAGAGAGCAATGATCTGGTCCATGATCTTCAGCGGAATCACTTCGCTTCTGAGTGCTCTTCTGATTGCATTTGCCCCTGGAAACTGGCCGGAGTATCTTGATGCAGAGTGAGTATCGTAGGAGTGCCTGAAGCCAATAACTTTAAGGCAGTGATGATGACTTACGATTCTTAGTCTGCCCTGGATACCTTGGATAATCGATACCCTCAAGTCCACAGCCGGGGGCATAGCCCTCATAACCGTGACAATCGTATCACTCAAGTGAGTTATCATGTGCTGTCGGCATCATCAATACCTTTGTGGCTGCTGACAAGAATTCTGTTTCACAGCTTCTTGATCATAGTGGGCATCAACAACGCTGCGTCACGACTGGCTTGGGGACTAGCCAGAGATAACGCCCTGCCATTTTCTACCGCTTTGTTCCGGATCAACTCCAGTTTCCGGACCCCAATCAACGCCATTTCCTTCATTGTGGCGGCGGAAATGGCGATAGGTATGCACAGTCCTCTTTACATAATGCGACATGCTGACCTGTCTGCAGGATTGGTAGTCTTTGAGAGTGACCACGCTTTCGAAGCGATCGTTAGTCTCGGCGGTGTGGCTATCCAGATTGGATATCTCATTCCCGTGATAATGGTATGCATTTCAGTGCGAAGGGACCCAGTTGGCTTTCCATGGTACTGACGCTGGGGTGACAGCTTCTGGTGAGTGGGCGCGATTGCTTGCCCACCAACCGTGCATTCAGCCTTGGTAGGTTTGGTAAGCCTATTAACATTGCGTCGGCCATTTGGTCGTCCTTGATTATTATCATGTTGTGGTAAGATCTGCGCTTTTTCAGTCAAGAATGTCGGTCATTAATACTGACCTGCTGATGTAGCTTCCCTCTCTACGTCCCCGTAACAGCCAGTAGCATTTGTGAGTGTCTACCTCTGTAGATGATCTCATCAACCTTTCGATTACATTTTACTAATAATACAAAGTGAACATGAATTGGGCTGTGTTAATCATTGGGGCGTTGGTGCTCATTATCTTGGTTGACTGGGTGACTCGGGGTAGATTTTACTACTCCCTGTGAGCACCTCTTTCCACACAGTCGGATAGTCTTCACTTCAAGAAAGCCAGTCCTCAATGATACGACTTTTTCAAACAATGTTTGGCTATTTCAGATCTATTCGGTATGCATTTGACCAGCTGAGGCACCTCATCTTAATCAAGATCACACCCTTGGCATGGCTCAACTTCGGATTCGTCCATCGCCATGCCATGACGAAAGCAAGCAAATCAGCTATTTATTTACAATGCCAAGACGATTCCAATGTCCTCTTTATCTCA